GAAGAGTTAATTTTGCCAGCAATAAAGGAAGTAATAACTTCTGTGCTTCATGAACCAGCCGCAGATATTATTCGAAAAATTCCTTTGAGAAATAATTCTGTGCAAAGATGAATTGATGAAATGGCTGAAAACATTGAAGAATTATTGTGCAACCATCTGAGGACTAGTCAATTCTCAATCCAGCTCGATGAGTCCACTTTACCAACTAATGAAGCATTATTGCTGTCCTACGTGAGGTTTGTTAAAAATGAGAAAATATGTGAAGATCTATTGTTTGCTAGAAATTTAGAGACCGTTACAAAAGGCGAAACCATATTCAATTATTGGAAAAGTTTTGTGATGAGAAAGATTTCCTTGAAAAATATATCAGTTGCTACGGATGGCGCTCCGGCTATGACAAGGTGCCATAAGGACTTCATAGCGTACTTAAAAAATAAAATTCCAGATGTCGTTGCTGTACATTGCGTTATTCATAGACAACATTTAATTAAAACAAAAAATATCGTTGCTGCTTTCCCATCCAAACTTCTTCCACACAAAAAGAATATGGGCAGATGTGAGTTTCACAAGTTTTCGAGTTTATCAGTATCCTGCAGTAACGACGACTTGTTTGCCTACTGCCAACATTTGGAAAACCTCCACATTGACTTCACCGAACGTTACCAAGACATTTTGATCTTGGAAATACCAGACTGGGTGTTCGATCCGTTTTCAAATGTCGACACAGTAATATCACCTCAGCTGGAAGAAGAACTTATAGAATTGACAACGAACGAGGAAATAAAAATCAAGTTCAAAAATGGCTACCAAGAATTTTGGCTACAAAAACCGATCCCGCAATTGTACCCTGGATGGTGGTCATCGTTCAACGATTCTTGATAGTATTCCCATCGTCATATTTGTGTGAACTTGGTTTTAGTGCTGTGACAACGCTGCTTACTAAAAAGAGAAATCGTTTGCATGCTACCGAACGTGGTGACTTGCGGCTGTTCTTGAGTAAATTGGAACCTGATATCAACAAACTTATTAAACAGCATCAGATTCATCCTTCACATTAGTTTTTATATTAGAATAGATCGTGTTTGTTTTATTTTGAATAAAAGATACTCTGTCTGAATACTATAAAGTTGCGTTTCAATAATCATTCTCATTGGTAGGTGTAGCTCGTAAGAGTTAACTTGAGACCTGAGCGTTGTTGTGTACTACCTACTGCGTTCAGGTCTCAAGTTAATTCTTGCGGGTTATAGTAAAAGTCTCCTTTAGAATGAATGTCTAATCTCCGCTAATACAGCTCACAATAATTAATTTAATTTGAAGTTATAGTGGTTTTTAAGTGGGTGAAAAAATGGGGGCGCTAAAAATAATTTATTCTCAAAGTGGGCATTAGACAAAATAAGTTCGGGAACCCCCGCTCTAAGTATTGCAGGTACTAATACAAAGATTAAAAAAAAAGAAAATCTATGACAACTTAAACCAACCAAGCACTATTTCAATTGCTATTCTAAGTATTTTGATCTTTGAATCGTGATTGTCTTGTGGCTTAGAGTATATGTGGCCTAAATTTAAATGTCTACTTCCATATATTAAACATGTACAACGTGATAAGTAATGGTTATTTATTAATTAGGATCTTTCATTTGTCTGGCTTATAATTTTAATTTCAAGTATTTTTTAAAAAGTCTTAAGACGAATCAACATTAACCCTAGATTACGAACCTTCGTCGAACCAACGACGCGGGTTCGAAAAAAGCGTGGTAAATTTTGCGCGCGTGGTCATTTTCTTTTCTACTTCCGGCTAATCTCCGTCAACCCGTTGCCCGTGCGACTGATGGTAGTGCTTTTTGGGTTGGAAGTCTGTGTGCACCGTACCAGCAACCATGACTCGTCGCATCGACGATGGTTTGTAGTAACGGAACATTTTATACTATTGTGTTTTCACATTTTTTTTAAAGATATTACATACAGTGGTATTTATTAATTGTTATTATATATACGACACGTCACTTACTAATACAAGACTATAGTGTTGAGGAATAGTCCTCTGGGAGTGAGAGGGAAGACCAATATGAAGCTAATCCAGCTTATGAAACGGATGGTGAGGCAAGAGTTTCTTCTTTGAACCACCAATTACTTCCAGGTCAAGATGTCCCAACAAGTAATATAATTATAATAACAAATAATACATCTTCATTATCTTCAATTGAAGACTCGATACCAAGCACTTCAACACAGACCTTGGACTAGACGTGTGCCCTTGCTTCTTGCCATCAACGACGTAACCAGACGTAACGTCAAAAACTCGGCGATGGCCTTTGCAGTACAATTTTTATAGAATTCTCAACATTGCATTCATAAATAATTATGTTATTGCAAAGGAAAAGGCCTTTGTATAGATGTCAATATTTAAAAAGGGGAGTCACACATGCAAAAATAGATTAACAATATCAACCCTTGGAGGCTCTGCATGACTCAATTACATACATTTTGAAAATACCAGGAAGTAGTTGTAATAGTAGTTCTACTGATGAGTAGATGCATTGTATTCCTAAACTAAAGAAGATGAAAATCTGTGCGATGTGTCCCTTTGCAAAGCGAAAAGCAGTTGCACTAAACACAAAAAATTGTTGTGTTGTGAACGCAAACTTCAAGTATGTCACAAATGTTTTAATTCCCAGATTTGCATTAAAATTGTTTGTTGTTTAGTTCATTTGTTTTGTTAATTTTGATAATTTAAGTTTTTTTAAAGCATTGTCTTTATACATTTAATATGTAAGCAATTTTAATATTTCATAAATGTAGATTTTACATGAAAACTATAATCTCATATAACAGACTGTTTCTAACGAATATGTTGCATAATAATGATAAAAGCATAATAATATATTGGGACATAATTGTTATTAAAAATAAACACAAAAAAATATACATATTTTATTTCACAAAACCTGTGAAATCCGTTTTTTTATAAGCGTAGTTGAAACGACGAAGGTTCGTAATAAGCGTTGAAAAATCATTAAGACTGTGATTCATATAATGTAAAGTTTGCAAACGTACATTTCGTAAGTCAACTGTGACATAGAATCTGGTCTGATTGATCTTTTTTTCTTCATTTCAACTAGTAAACTAATACTGTCGTCACTTACAGCAATATTACAACTCATACATTTACTTCCCAAGTGTGTACTTGGCTGTTATTAAATAACAGTCTTAGTCACTTTTTAAAATTTAACAAGTGACTAAGATTTCAATTTCTAAAAGGCTACGAGTAAACCGACAACCTACATACTTGTAATAGTTTCAGTCCACGTTTATAAAATACACGTTAAGTACGCCACAAAAAGGATAAATCCTAGGTAATCACTAAAATTTTTATAAATTTCCCTTCAATCCGAGTATTTTTGAATCAAATCATTTTTATCAAATTTGTTTAATTACAAAAAAAAAATTAAAAATACAAAAATAAACTTTGCAACAACACATGGCTTTACAAGCCAGGTTGTAATCACACAGGTTATCACCACACAGATAAGTAGTATAGTA